TGTGATGCCAAGGCATACTAGGCTATAGACCAAAGGGAAATAGGATTAGAATAGTTAGGTCATTGCTTTTGACCAACATAGATGTGATGGGCCAAAGGACTTTTTTCTGTGCTGTGGTTCTCTGTGATTCAATGTCTTGATCTGTCATTAAACATAGAATATCTAAAGTGTAGAAGCAGGCCATTTGACCCATCGAGTCCACATCACCTGTCCAAAGAGGTGCATCCCACTCAGTCCCACCCCTTTACCCTATCCCCCATTTCCGATGGCTATCCCATCTACCCTACACGCTATGGACATTTTAGCATGGCCAATCCACTTAGCCTGCACATCTTTGGACTGTGGGAGGAAGCCAGAGCACCTGGAGGAAACCCATGCAGACACGGGGAGAATGTGCAAACTACACAGTTGCCAGAGGGTGGAATTGAACCCGGGTGAGGCAGCAGCGCTGTCCACTGAGCCACCATGCCGCCCTTGCCAGCAATTCCTCCAATCAGCCTGGTGCCAAGCAAGTCCTTTGCATTCCTTTGGATTCAACCGGGGAGGTAGGGTGGTTGTGGTGCCTTGATGTTTGGGCAGCCTTGGGTCTCCATGAATCTTTCCCTGGCTTGGCACCCTAAAAGGGACACTCAAGTCTCATTGCAATATGTTAGCACAATACAGGAGATAACAGTCACAAATGATAAGTCCACGTTGCTCTGGCAGTGGGAAAGGACCACACAAACATTGAAGATAGAAGCTGGAGTGGACCATTTGAACTCTCGAGCCTGCCCTATCATTCAATGTAATCATGGCTGATTGTCAAGCTCAATGTCCTAATCCCGCCTTAACCCTTGATCCCGTTAAACATAAGAGCTATATCTAACTCCATCCTGAAAACACAATCTTTTGTCTCAATGACGCTCTGTGGTATTGAATTCCCCAGACTCACCACTCTCTGGGTGAAGAAATTTCTCCTCGTCTTAGTCCTAAAAGACTCCCCCCATCCTTAAACTATGACCCCTGGTTCTGGCCTCCCCACCACTGGGAACATCCATTCTTCCTGCATCTAACCTATCTAACTCCTGTGGTTGGTTCGCTCGCTAAGCTGGTTCATTAGTTATCAGATGTTTCATTACCCTTCTGGGTAACATCATCAGTGCAGCCTTTGATGAAGCGTTGTTGTATTTTTCTGCTTGCTATTTAAACTTTGTGGTCCGTTGGAGCTGATTAACTCATTTCCAGCGGTGTGTATATAGGGTCTAATTCTATGTGTTTATTGATGGCCTTCTTGGTGGTGAACCAGGCCTCTAGGAATTCCTGTGCTTGTCTCTGTTTGGATTGTCATAGGATCCTGGCATGTCCCAATCGAACTGGTGGTCCTCCTTGTCTGTATGTACGGAGACAAGTGAGTATTAGTCGTCACTTTTTGTTGCTAGTTGGTGTTCGTGTATTATTGTAGCCAGTTTTCTTCCTGTCTGTCCAATGTAATATTTGTCGCAGTCCTTGCATGGAATCTTGTATATTACATTGGTTCTGTCCATAGTGGGTAAGGGATCTTTGGTTCTTGTTAGCATTGGCATAGGATTGATGTAAATTTTGTGATCAGTTCAGATATGTTCTTGGTGTATGGTAACGTGACAAGTGTGTCAGGGCGTACTGTATCTTCCTGTTGTTGTTTGTGTGACAGGCATCGTCGGACCCAGCTGTTCGGGTATCCATTGTCTCTAAATACTTGGTGGAAGTATTCATCTTCATTTTGGTGTAGTTCTGGGTTGCTGCAGTGTGTTGTGGCTTACTTGAATAGTGTTTTCACGCAACTCTGTTTGTGGATGTTGGGGTGGTTATTGTTGAAATTCAGGATTTGATCTCTGTGTGTGGCCTTTTTGTATACTTTGGTCAGAAATTCCCCATTGGCCCTGCATTCTACCATCACGTCCAGGAATGGGAGCTGTTTGTTCTTTTCTTCTTCTCTGGTGAATTTGATGCTGGTGAAAATGCTGTTTATAAGTTGGTGCTTTTGTTCTAGTTTAGTTCGTTTCATGATGACGAAAGTGTCATCCACATATCAGGTCCATAGTTTGGGTTGGATCTGTGGAAGGGCCATGCTTTCAAATTTCTGCATCACTGCTTCTGCTATTAGTCCAGAGATGGATGACCCCATAGGTGTCCCGTTGATTTGCTCGCAGATCTGGCCATTAAACATAAAGTGGGTCGTGAGGCATAGGTTCAGTAATTTCAGCATGTTCTCCGTAGAGATGATATCATTCGGGGCTGGTTCCTTCAGTCGTGTAGCTAGTGTTTCTCTAGCTAGTGGTATGTTGATCAATGTGAATAGCGCAGTAAAGTCAAAGGATACCATGGTCTCATCCTCGTCTATTCTTGTATCTTTGAGGGTTTTGAGCAACTCCTGGGTTGAGTGGATTGAGTGGGTTGAGTTGTTGACAAGGTATTTTAGTCTTCGTTGTAATTCTTTGGTTAACCCATGTGTTGGTGTGCTTGGGAGAGAGACTATGGATCTGAGGGGTACTTCCAGTTTGTGTACCTTTGGGAGGCCGTAAAATCGAGGGGGTGTTTGTCCCTTCAGGTTTCATTTTTAGGTAGTCTGCTTTGTTAATTTGTCTGGTCTGTTTGAGTCTCTTTAGCGTGTAGATAATTTTGTTTCCCAGTTGCAGTGTCGGATCTGTTTCCACTTGTCAGTATGTATTTGTGTCCGCTAGTAGCACCTGTGCTTTCATGATGTAGTTTGTTAAGAGTTACTGTCATGCGGCCTTTGTCCGCTGGTAGGATTATGATGTTTTTGGCTTTTTTCAGTCTTTCCAGGGCCTTCCTTTCTGTTGTGTTGAGAGTGTTAAGTTTGTTCCTTCTGGTCAGTGTCAGGACCACTGTTTGTCTTATGGTTTGTTTTGTTTCCTCATTGATGCCGTTAGTCTTCAGCGTGGATTCTAGCGTGGCTAGGAATTCTGTCTTGTTAGCGTCTCTGTGGTTGTCAAACCAGGTACTACCATGCAGTGTGAAATACAAACCTTCCATCAACAACCCACAAGCACATAGGACAGCAGAGTACAATGGCTGCAGAATAGTGAAGGCAATGATTAACGACACCCACAACCGACTCCACAGATACGACAGGGAAGTTATGCGCCAAAAATCCCTATACTTAGACGCAACCTACTCCCAATGGACAACAGACTTAGAACAAGCCATGAACATCAGTCAACAGAAAACCAAAACCAAGAAAAGACAAATCCTACAAGAAAAATTAGCCAAACTAACCAACCAAAACAACAGCCAAAGATCAGACATCTGGATAAGAAATCTATCTCAGAGAGATAACTAACAGACACAGAGAAAGCTGTACTAATATGTGGACTCAATTACAACCACATTAGGTTTGGGTGGCCTGCTCTACAGAGGTTTGGTGTGGACTCAATGGGCTGAATGACGGCTTCCACACTGTAGAGATTCTATGTCAATTTTTTGATTGGAAAACTGGATTGCCAGGACTGTGTGAATAGGATTGACAAATGACTTGCAGCTGATCAATAAAGTGCTGATGACAGCTGTGATTGACAATGAACACAAACATTGCATCCCTCCAAGAGATCACGTTTGCCTAGAACAAAGCACTGAAACAAAAACTTTACACAGTCATCTGGCAGGGGAAGATGTGAGCACGAAGTTGGCTTTGTTTTAAGGAACATGTCGCTCCTTATGATAGAAATGTTCCCTCCCCCTAAGAATCGACGAAGAATGTGTTCTCTCCATCTGTGTCTCGACTCAAATCATATCGGTTAACCTCATAAATATCTCTGCCTTGATTCTGTGCTCCACCACAGTGGCAAAAGACCAGCTCTGTGAGACAAAAGCAGAAATTGCTGAAGAAACTCAACAGGTTTGGCATCATCTGTGGAGGAAAAAAAACAGTTAACGTTTTGAGGCCAGAGGTGCTGCAACATGGCAAATTCTATGAGAAAATTGACACAACTATCTGCAGAATCTCTAAGTAAGGCATCTTTACCTAGTGGGCAATTTCAATGCAAGAAGTTGGTGAGAAACTTGCAGACACCCTAACTATAATCTTTCAAACAGTTTTCTGGATTTGTGAAATTTTCCTTTAGAATGGATCGCACATGTCACTGTTTTTAAAGAAAGGCAGGGAGAAAAATAGAATTGTGTACAGTTTTGGTCACCCTGTTATAGGAAAGACATAACTAAACTGGAAAGTGTGCCAAGAAGATTTACAAGGACGTTGCCAGGACTGGCAGGCCTGAGTTATAGGGAGAAGTTGGCCAGAATAGGGCTTGATTTCTTGGAACATAGCAGAATGAGGGGTGATCTTATTGAGGTGTATAAAATCGTGAGGGCATAGATGCGATGAATGCGTATAGTCTTTTTCCCAGGATGAGGAATTGAAAACTAGAGGCCATAGGTTTAAAGTGAGAGGGGAAAGATTTAAGAAGGACCTGAGGGGAAACTTCTTCACTCATTGAGTGGTGCATATATTGAATGGGCTGCCTGAGAAAGTGGTTGAGGCAGATACAATAGCAATATTTAAAAAACACTTGGACAGGTACGCAGATGAAAAGGGTTTAGAGAGATATGGACCAAATACAGGCAATTGGAACTAGCTCAGTGGGCACCATGGTCAGCATGGACCAGATTGGGTCAAAGGGCCTGTTTCCGTGCTGTATTTACTCTATGGCTCTATTAAGTGCAGACCCTGTGGCATGGTTTTCTTGGGTCAAATAAGTGAGACCATGCTGTGACCATGAGCTTTGTTGAACAACACCTTCTTTCAGAATAAACCATATTTAAGGGGGTATCCAGGACATATCCAGGATCAGGGCATTGTCACCAGCGGGATATGATCATCACCACACATGACTCTCTGGCCAGGATTCTCAACACATGTACCTGCCACAGTGATGACTATGATACAGATCACTCCCTGATGTGTTCTAGGGTGAGTATGTCAATATTCAGATAAATAATCTTAAATATTTTGCAACAGAAATTACCTTTTGTTTCTCATGGTCATGTCTTTCAAAAAGACTGTTTATTTCCGAAGTCCACTTATTTTCCTATAAGTATAAATAAATCATGTTCAATTTCTGATATTTAAGCAGTATGGATATATTCCGACTGCCCTTTATCAGTGAGGACACTTTTATCTGAAAATATGCAATGCGCTACTAATTTGGCTCAGTTTGTAGCAATTTCCCCTGTGTCGAAGTCTAACTCTGGAGCCAAATTTAACCTGAAATTCTTGTGCAATCTTATGGAAGCTTTTTATTATCAATTAAGATGTTAATCCAGTCATATCTATCCATTTAAATGGATATTAAATTAAAACTATACAATTCAAAATGCTGCAGAAAGTCCTTCAATGCTCCATCCAAAACTCCAGCTTCAATTAGCTTCAAGAAAAGGGTAGCTTGCTGCTTGCATGATCATTTGGATGTAAACAATAATCATTTTGTGGTTGAGGAGGATGTGAGATTCAATTTCTTTAAGGATAGCATAACCGTAACAAAACAAATTATATTGAAATTATATTATATATTCCATTATAAAAAAAACTACAAAGGTCATTTAGTGACCAATATCAACATCAAAAAAACCCTCCAAACAATAGGAAGTTGACTCATAAACGCTTACAGAAATAGAAGGGGGCCATTTGGCCCATCATGACAATGCCAGCCAACTAAGATCTGACGACACTAATCCTATTTTCTAGCTTTTGGTGCAAAACCCCAGAGTCTATGGCATGCAAATAAATATGTAAATACTGTTAAAAAGTGTTACAAGTGTTTATGACTCAACCACCATGTCAGGCAGTCGGTTCCAGACTCCCACCATCCTCTGGGTTAAAACATTTCCCCTCAACACTCCTCTTAGCCTTCTGCCTTATAGTGAAAATAGTGTCCTCCTGTCCATTCTGTGCCCCTTATAATATTACATAGCTCTATCAGGCCGCCTCTCGCCCTTTGCTGCTCCAAAGAAAACAATCCCTGCCTATCCAATCCTTCCTCACAACTCAGATCCTCCAGCCCAGGCAGCATCATGGTGAATCTCCTCTGCACCTTCTAGTGCAATCACACACTTCCTACAATGTGGTGACTAAAACTGCATGTAGTTGTGGCCTAATGAGCATTTCATACAGTTTCAGCATAACATCAGTGTTCTCGTATTCTATGCCTCTGCAAATAAAGGCAAGAATCCCATTTGTATTCTTAACCACAATATGCCCTGCTATCTTTAGAGATCTCTGGTTATGCACACCAAAGCTCCTCTTATCTTCAGTATCATCCATGGTCCTATCTTCATACTGTAATCCTTTGCCTTGTTAGCCCTCCACAAATGCATTACCTCGTACATTTCTGGGTTGAATTCCATTTGCCTCTGCTCTGACTAGTCTGTTCATATCTTCCTGCAGTTTATAGCCATCCTCCTCACTACATGACACTTAAAGCAAAGGGAAGAGACCATTACAAATTGAATCCACAATTGACTGAGTGGCAGGAAGGAGAGGATGATGATTGAGGAGTGTTTTTCCAATTGGAAATTTGGGTTCAGTGGGGTCAAGCTGGAGTCAGTATTGGAGTCCTTGCTGTTTGTGATTTATAGAAATGGCTTAGATTCAAATAGAGGAGGGTTAATCGGTAAATTTGCAGATGATACAAAAGCTGGTGGGGAGGTAAACAGTGAGGATTACAGCCTGAGATTAAAGGAAAATATAGATAGGCTGAACAATGGCAAAAGAAGTTCAATCTAGATAAATGTGAGATAAATGTGAGGTAATGCACTTCAGCAGGACACAAGGCAAAGGAACACATGATGAACAGTCGGATCCTGGGAAACACTAAGGATCACAGGGATCTTGGTGTGCATGTAAACCGTTCCCCTAATGTATCAGGAAAGGTGGAAAAAAGTGATTAAGAAGGCATATGGGATACTTGCCTTCGTTAGCTGAGACACAGAATTTAACAGCAGGGAGGTTATACTGGAACTGTATAAAAGTTGCTTGGGTCACAGCACAGTACTCTGTGCAGTTCTGGAATCCAAATAATAGGAGGAATGTCATAGCATTGGAGAGTGCAGAGGAGATTCACCAGATGTTGCCAGGGCCAGAGAGCTTCATTTATGAAGAGAGATTGGATAGACTAGGATAGTTTTCCTTGGAGCAGAGGAGATTGAGAGAGATTTATAAAATTATGACATGCATAGATAAGGTAGGCAGGAAGACACTCTTCCCCTTGATGAAGTGATCAATGATCAGGGGGCTTAGATTTAAGGTAAGAGGAGAAGGTTTAAAGGAGATGTGAGGAAAAACTTTTTCTTGCAGAGGGTGGTTGGATTCTGGAACTCATTGTCTATTAGGGTAATAGAGACAGAAACCTTCATAAATTTAAGAAGTTGTGCACTTGTGATGTCAAGGCATTCAAAGTTATAGGTCACGTGCTGGAAAATACAATTAGAGTAGTTAGGTGAGACAACAAGGTGCAGAGCTGGATGAACACAGCAGGCCAAGCAGCATCATAGGAGCAGAAAGGCTGACGTTTCGGGCCTAGACCCTTCATCAGAGTAGTTAGGTGGTTGTTTTTGGCCAGCGCAGATACAACGGGCTAAAGGGCCTTTATGTGTCGTAGATCTCTATGACTATTTACCACTCTAGGAATTTTCATGTCATTTGCAATCAGCTGGATTAAAGTCTCCACATTTATAGCCATCTCATTAACGCACCACAACCAGCAAAGGCCCCAGCACCAATCAACCAGAACCCCACTGGAAGCAGACTTCGATTAACAGAAACATACCTCTACTGTCACCCTTAGTTTTCTGCTTCTCAGCCAATTTTGGTTCTAATATGCCGCTTTGTCTTGGATTCTATGGGCTCCTACTTCCTTAGCCCATCTGCCAGGAAAGGATCTTATCAAAAGCCTTGCTAAAGCCCATATAGACGTCAAATGCATTACCCTCATCAACACCCCCAGTTACCTCCTCAAAACATTTAATAAAGTTTGCCAAATACAACTTTCTCTTCGACAAAGAAAAGATTATTATTAATCCATGTCTCTTCAAGAGCAGGTATATTCTGTCTCTCTGAATCTTTTCTAAAAACTTCCCTACCACCGATGTTAGACTAACTGGCCTGTAACTTCCTGGTTTATTCCTTTGTCCCGTTTTTCAAATTAGCAGTCCTTGGGCTCCTTCCACCCATCCAGATGTCATGAATAGGAAGGGTTTTCAGAGATATGGTCCAAATGCTAGCAAATGGGACTAGATTAATATGGATATCTGGTCGGCATGGATGAGTTGGACTGAAGGGTCTGTTTCTGTGCTTCACATCTCTGTGACTCCTCACCTGTGGCCAGAGAGGATTTCAAAATTACTGCCAGGGGCCCTTGCCACCCTCAACAGCCTAAGATACGTCTCATCAGAACCTCCAGATTAATCAAATTTTAAAGCTGCTAAACCCTCTAGTATCTTCTCCACCTCTGCTAATTTATTTTAATATTTCACAGCCTCCACCCTGATGCCAAGATCAGCATTGTCCTTTCCATTGCAAAGCCTGACACAAAATATTCATTGAGGTCTGTGCCTATGTCTTCCAGGTCCATACGCAAATTACCCCCTATGGTCCCTAATGGATCCTACTCTTTCCCTCGTCATTCTCATGTTCTTTATTTACTTAACAAAAAAACTGCTTGGGGTTTTGCATTATTCTACCCTATTCAATGCTTTCTCATGCACTTTCTTTGCTAATCTAAAATACGATGTTGTTCATGAAGTGCACACAATTTTAATAAAAAATAAGATTTAAGCTAACAGATTGTGAAAAAAATGAAGGATTTTTGTCAAGCATTTGGCATTACTTGGGCTCTTTGAGTTCTGTCATAGTATATAAGCTAACGACCAGTTTCACATACACAAAGCAATCCCTAGTTTACTTGAAGCTATCAAAAAATTGTTATTTTGCACAGATAAGTATTTAAGAGATCCAAGCTATTTAATTATTGTTGAAACATAAGTAAATATTGTTTTTCCTTAAAGTTAATGTTATGTAAATTAATTGATTCCATTTCTCAACTTGGTTAATTTAAGTTGCAGAACCATTATGAAATGAGTGATTGTAATAGATTAAATAGCTGCTATGGATAGTGATTAAAAATATCATCTAAAGATACACATTAGTACAAAACATAATGATTAGTCTATTTGCCATCTTTGGCTTAGCGATAGCACTTTCTTCCATGCCACGGAAAGCATGGGTTCATGCCCACCCATGAACTTTAATGCATAATCTGGGCTGTCACAACAAGACCAATGAAGTACTGTTGTGTCAGAGATGGTGTCTTCAAACTCACTCTCAGGTCAGTTGAAGTTTTCTTCAATTTGAAGAAAATTGAAAAGAAGCTACTCCTCATTCAATAACATTAAAACAGCTTAAACGGATATAAGTGCCCATCTATGACCATCTCCAATAAGAGATTATCTAATCTCCATATGATGAATTACAGCATTTACATCATTAAATCCCACACTATTGAGAAACTGAACTGGATCAGCTATATAAATATTGTAACTGCAAAAGTAGACAAGAGGCTGGGAATTCTGCTTAGGTTTAGTCTGTTTGCCAATACAATACATTAATAAGGTGTGTGAAACCATTCATTTGCCTGGATGTGTACAACATCGACAACACGTAAGAAGCTCAAGATGAACCAGGACAGCCCATCCACAGCCTTAAACATTTAGTCTCGCCATCAATGATGCATTCAGTGTGCATCATACACAGCAACAACTCACCTAGGCTCCTTCAACACCACCTTCCAAAGGCATAACTCCTACCACTGTAAAGGACAAAGGCAGTAGTAGCATGGAAACACCATCACTTTTATCTTCTCCTCCAAATCCTACACTATCCTGACTGAGAACATTATCGCTATTCGTTTCCTGTTGCTTGGCTAAAATCATGATGGTACTTCCTAATGGTACTTTAAGTTAGCTACACCAAACGAACTGCAGTGATTCAAAGGGCAGCTTACCATGACATTTTCAAGGGCTATTGACATAAGCA